CATACCCGATCACCTACCTGTAAATTAAAGAAAACTCGATGGTCTTGCAGGCAGTTTACGGTCAAGCGAGCACCGGCTATAGCACTGGAATGTCGAGTTCTGATATTGTTGAAAAATGGAAACATACCATGAAGGGCCCCAAACTTGCGATAAATGTCGCTGTGCGGACCACCTTCGACTTTGTTTGTTCCACGTTTGCAATTCCACTTTTGCAAACCATCTTCGTCAACCCCCGCTTTCTCATACAACACAACACCTTCAGGATCAGAAAGATACCCTTCACGAGCAAGCTCGAGCACTGCGGCCGCTTTTTTCCATGCCTCCTTGGTGAATAAAGGCTCCCCGTTCTTCGCATTTGGAGCATTGCCGAACATGTTGTACACATGTTGAATTGCAGGGATGTTATATACCGAGCCGGGGATGAAGGACCGGAAGTGCCGGAGGTCCGACGGAGGGTCCGGGCTGTATACGAGTGATCGCAACACCACAGGGGGTAAAGGGTGAGCGACTACCTTGACCGGCAGGTAGTCCGGTATAGAGGACGACGACCGGAGGTACCGGAGGAGGACGAGGAGTGCAAAGGCGACTCAGTGCAAGGAGTTAGAGCCAAGCAACGTTAATTATCAATCTGAAGTACAAGACGTATTAAAGTGATATATATACTAAGTAGCTAATTGTATTCCATAATAGGAAGGAGGGTGGTTCTAAACAATAGAGCGTGTTGGAGGAAGTGATGATAAGTCCTAAGACAATAAGGAAGAAGATGAGAAGACGGGTAAACGGGAAACGCTCAGTAATCCTTCATTGCGTAAAAACCCGATGATACACGGATGTCCAGAGGCTCCGGTCAATGACCGGAGCTCCGGCAGTACCGGAGGTATCGGAGGGGGGCGGATGATGGCCAGGAATTGGCCGGGCGTCAGAGGGAGGCTGCACGGATATAACAAGGGACGAGAACACTAGGCGGTGGTACGTAACGAGGGACTCGTTGTTTGATGAACCGAGGGCTCCGTGCCAGCATTTCATCAAATGTGCGATGAAATTTAGTTCGACAGATCTTGTCAACCGCAGTACGGGCAGTTGGATCCCATCGCATGAGGTGATCGCGGAGGGCTCGCGTGAATTCTGCGCGCATACCGTGATCCCCAGACATCGGGATCATCCGGAATGCATGGAATAAGTCTTTTTTCATCCTGGTATACACATTTTCAACGTCAGGTGGGGCTTCAATCAACCGGCAAAGATCAGCCAGGAATTTGGATTCCTCAGAATCGGGACTCTCTGACTCCGAGTCGTGCACCCGCTTTGTGCCTAGAACCAAGAAGTTATACGTACAAGTTTGTCAATAAAAAGTATTCTCACCACCACAAACATCAGCATGGGCTTCAAGCATTTGTAGCTTCACCGACTCAGAGGGATAATCATTTTCATCATTTGGTTCATCGAAGTTGGCTTCCGATTCGGAATCGGAATCATCGTCGGATTCCTGTGCCCCGGAGTCTTCGGTATCAGCCACAACTGTTCGCATTACTGGAGATACGTGGGCAGGATCTGGTTTATCATTAGCAGGCAAATCCTGGATCGCGTGAGTCTAAAATCTCTTTCAATATAGTATTGAGCCGTTATAAGATTCGGACTGACCGGCTCTCGACGACGATCAAAGGAGAGAAGCGAAAGCGAGGCAACAACACAGAAAGTTGATGATGAGGAAGCAGATTGGAGCTGTGCAAACGTATATGCTCCGGCGGCTGTTCGCTTGGTTTTAGATGAAGTTGGCAATTGGTGGAAGATAGCCGCCGCAGAAGGTATGAGTACCGAGTCTACGTCAACTAATATCCGATTCCGGTTCGGAGTGTGAACGCGAATCCCTGCGAATGACGGCGGTTGAACTGCTGAGATTTTTCCGTATGCTGCAATGGCACCGCCTTCCTGGACCAGTAAGGCAACTGGAGTTCCCACAGGCGAGTCAATAGTTACTGCGTCAATAGGTGGAATCTTGGAGATTTCTTCGAAGACCAGGCGGGATGCAAAGACGTCGAGAGCGGCGTAAGTTTTCATTTCCGGCCGTAAACTCCCTTCCCAATCCTCGCTCTTCCGAATTGGATCGTCCTTTACAAGGTGTTTTCCAAGGACTTTCTTCACCAAAACATCCAGTGCTCCCGAATCTTGGCGACCGATAATCCCACGCTGAACAGCATACTCTTTGAGGTCAATAATATTGAAGGATCCCTGTTCCGCGAGCTGAGGAAACTGCTTCTTCAAGCGGGTCAAATCTCCTTTCACTCCGACACCTGTTTTGAACACTCTGTTCGATATAAGCAGTCGAAGAAAAGAAGGCGGTAGAGTCGTGAATTTCACCAAGGAAAGTGACCATATTGCAATGTGCCCTGCTGTTACAAGCAGTCGCATTACATTATGCCCCTTCACTCACAGTCCTGTCAGCTTGGCTGGTCACAATGCATTGTGGCATGCAATTTGAAAAGTAGCAAAATAAAGGTGCCAGCAAGGGGGATCGAACCCAAAAACTCCAGCATGACATGATTACCAATCTAAGATGAGAGAGATAACCACTATACTAAGAGAGCATTGAAGGTGTATCAAATTATAGGGATACTACATGCAACTCCTTTCTACATAATAAGCTTAAAACAAGCTCTCTATGGCCCCGCCTTAGGGGCCTAGTTAGGTTAGGAGGTTAGGGTTAGGGTTAGGTGCTGGTTAAGGTTGGTTAAGGCTTAGGACCCAAGGTATATTAGGAGAGTGATTGGTCAGCTTTTGATGGTTAGGGTTGGTTAGGGTTAGTGGTTAGGTGTTAGGGTTAGAAACACCTCCAAACACATAATAAGCTTTGAATTACACTTACTAGGACCTAGGGCAGCTTGTCTGCCCTAGGTCCGGGGTATCAGCAGCCCCAGGTAGGTTAAGGGTACCTTAACCTAGCTGGGGCCAACAAATTAAACATTATGTCCTCTTTAGTATAATGGTTATAATGCATATCCATATAAAGTAATGAAACCCAAGCGTCGTGGGTTCAATCCCCACCTTTTGCATTATTTTACCATTTGCTATAATTCTAGTTGCCCTTGTCATTCACTGTCACATTGCATTGTGGTACAAATGACAGGACTGTGAGCAAGAGGGCACATTGCAATGCAGCTGCTTGTAACCACAGGCCACATTGCATTAATGTTACCATCTCTACATCATTTATGAACCTATTCCGGGCACATTAGATTGTGATGCAGACGAGTTTGAGACCGGTACATACGGGAACTATGTAGATACACCCCGGCATTGAATGCGGAGCAATCTGGACAATAGAGACTCCAACCGTCCGAGACACATTCCATTCAGCATCCAAACTAACGCATAAATGTGATTTTACATCATCGTCGACTGATGCCATCAAGGAAGCGCAGAGAGCCTCCACGCGCGCAGGAGTTTCAAGAATCTTGATGTCGAGATTCTGAGGGAGTTCTAACAATTCGAGGCCATGCGCAGTAGCCATCGGGGTCAGTTTCTGCGAAAGTGTGCGCCAAACACCGTAAAAAAGAGCCTTGTCCTGTTTCAAAGCGTGTCAGAATTATTATAGAGGATCAGATGAGGTCTCACTTTCACCGGGTCATCGGAAAAAACAATCTTCGGATCATCGTGTCCATAAGTTTTCAATGAATTGGCAACAGATTTGAGTGGGCCAATTCTCTCCTCGTGGCCCTTGGTCAAGGTCAAAACCTGAGCTCGAATGTATTCTCCGGACATGCATGTCCACAACGCAGTAAAAATCGGGACACCATCATATGTGTAATAGACGTACCTTTAATGCAATATTGCAGTAATCTGCACGCGGGATAATGCATTATTGCCAGTCCCTCATCACCAGTGATATGGTCAATAATGCAATATCCCAGCGTGTTTGGGTTGACCTGGGCCTTCTATTACCTAGTTGTTTTATTAAATAAATTTTTCTATTTTTCATATTTACAGGTGTTATTATAGCTCCAGATGTGGCGGTACCTCCGAATTTTTGATGCCACTGATGGCAGATAAAGGATACGATAAAAATAGCACATTTACAGGCCATCAATCCTGGGTCCAGGCCCCTCTCGCTTATTCCTCATGGCCCATCAATAGTGTGGCTAGACCTTCTCCATTTACAGAAACAATATCGCACGCTGCCATTTCAACATATTGGCCACGTGCTCCTCCGGTTGGGTGGTAGTTTCCCATGCTGACCTCAAATTTGGGTCCAGGCCTTTCACCTTTTTTAGGTATGTATTCACAGGGTCCGGCTACCTCGAGTATTGTTTGCGTATGTTAGGTTTCGAGGGTCCAGTCTCCGTCTCTCGTTGCCGCCACTGCGCCGCCCCTCCCCGCCCTCCCCGCCCTCCGCTGGAACTCCCATCCTTCTTTTGTGGTTACACCTACTCACACCTACACCCTCCCTCCCTCTCCGACGGCTCCCTTGGTCCTCCCCAATACCCCTGATGCCAAAAACAGCGCACCAAAAGCCAGGGATTTTGCGTTCGGGCTCGCAATGGCATGAGCTCAAACGCGCCAAGAAGGAGCGAGCGGCAGCGCGGGCGCGTGCCCTCGAAACCGGATTAATCCCGCCTCCCGACCTCGGTCGGGTATATTCCCTCCCTCCCCCTCCAGCGGCCTTGCGCCCCTCCCCTCGCCCCGTCGTTACCACCAACTCCGTTACGCACACCCACTTGGCATCACGCGCCCGCGACGATGAGAGGCTTCTTGCTATCTTCCAGGCCAGGAAACAGCTGGGCAGCGTGGCTGATCAGCAGGTCCACAAGAGGTCAGTAGTGCCCTTTTACCTCTGTTCTGCTATTTACTTTCTTATTATACAGCTTACCTCGGAAGTCCGCCTAGTACCCTGTTATACTGGATACCTTTGTACGACGTGTCATCCATTATCATTATATCTAAGGTAGAAATCATTTGCTCAGTTGTAGCAAGGTACTGGTCCCTCTTTATAACCTATTGAACGTGACTGTGTAGTATAATGGTAATACACCATGCTTAATTAAACGAAAAGGATGGCATAACTTATCATGAGGATCTCGGTTCGAATCCGACCGCGGTTATTTTGCATTATTTTTCTCTCCGTCATTCTTGACTTCAAAGAAATGGTCACGTGCATCGCGATGTCGCAAATTCGCCAAGTCCACATCACCCCGCAAATACATCAACTTCACGCTATTCAACGACAAGACACAAGGTACGAATTGTATATCTACTTCTTGACAGGCCGCGGCTTCGGACGTGGGAGGGGGCTAATGACAATCATCAGCTTGACTTACGTGGGATACAGAAACCCAAAAAATCTCACATTTGTCCCGCTCGAGTCTTGCGCGGCGACGACTCTTTTGGCTTGCTGCCCCGAGTTCTCTTCCTGGGCCCACTTTCGTCTTCGTCCTCGACCTCGCGAGTCTTTCGCTTCTTGGTCTTCTCCTTCTCCGCCGCCGGTGGGTCCCTTACGCTGATCATCAGTACGTGAAGGACGACACCAAAGACAGCACTTACCTCACAGCCTCGAGGATCAGCCTCTCAAGCACGTCCTTCACATCCTCCACTGCACGCCTCCACGCCACCGCCTCGACAATGGACTTGGATCGAGTCTCCTGCAACCCCCACCAAGTCAAGGTCGCCATGACCTGCATCAGTCCGTTGGGGCCGCACATCCTGGGGAGCTTTCCCCAGCTCACGTCGTCGGGCATGCTCAGCGCCTTCAACTCGGTGCTCCACTCTCGCTCCGGAGGCTGAAGCGAGCGCCACCACACCCACCACTCGTTAATGAAGGAGCCGGCTTCCCCCTTCGCTCCGAGACGCTTGATGCTGGGCGGCGTGTGCCACTTCCTCCCCCCTTTGATCCACTCCCCCACCTCGTCAGGTCGATTCTCTCCCCCAATCCTCGGCCCCTCCTCCTTATACCCGCACGCCGCCTCGAAGTCAATGTACTTGTTGACACAATCCACCCACAAATCGCCCCATTTCTCACCCAACGCGAACGCAGCGTGGGCTCGGCACAGCTCGGGCGACCATTTCCCCATATCGGTTCGCAGCCACGCCTCCGACAATGGCTCTGGCTCCCCGTCTTCCTGCGGAGACGAGCGGGGGCCAGCCACCGCGCCACTTGCCGCGCCAGTCCCCGCGCCCCCGCCCACGCTCGCGCTCGCGCCACTCGCTGCCCCCTCGCCCGACGAGCGGGCGCCAGCCATCGCGCCACTCGCCGTGCCAGTCCCCTCGCCTCCGCCCGCGCCTACCCCCGAGCCAGCCACCGCACCCCCGCTCGCGCCATTCATCGCGCCAGTCCCAGCGCCCCCGGTCACCGCGCCAGTCGCAGTCGCAGTCGCTGCGCCAGAGCCAGCCGAGCTCGACGCCGCCCCTGCCGTCCCCGCCAAGCTCGACGTTGCCGCCGCCACTCCCGTAGACCCGACATTTTCCCCGGAGCTGACGACGCCCCATCCAGTGGCGTCGCCGGTTTCCACCACTCGGCCCTCACAATCTTCTTTCGCTGTTTTGACATGTCAGTTTCCATTCCTCGCTGAATCCGATCTATAACTCACTGAAACATTTCTCAGAAAACCTGACCATCGAGGCCTCTACGTCGCGGTAGGCCATGCGGTCGAATTGGAACCATTTTTGGGAGTTGACACCGCGAGTCACGCCGGCATGCACGCTGGCCATTAACTTCAGCCCTTTCGACCAACATTTGAGAAGCAAGATACTGACCTTCGAACCTCAATCGCGCCGCCTCGCTCGCCGACGGGGCCGCACAACATGATTGTGCAGTTCATCCCAAATCTTTTCCGGATCTCCTCCGCCAATGGCTGCAGGTAATGCCCCGCATTCTTGAGGGCGCTGTCAATATTAAATCATGAGTTTCAGACAGCTCGTGCTGTGTGGTGAAGCACTTACGTGCTCAGCTCTTCCTTCGTTTGCGATGGTTCTTCCGCCCGCCCCATCTCCCAAGCACGCACTGCCTGTGTGTGCTCCTTCTCCAGCGCCAGGCGGACCTCTTTCTTAAACTCCTCTGACTCCTCCTCCCACACCTCCCTCGTCACGTCCCCGCGCACCTTCACTGGCTCAGGTGCCTTGAGCTCAAGGTCCTCGCAGCGTTTCTTCTCCACCTCCAACTCCGCCTCGGCGCGCTCCTTCACTCGCGTCTTGTAGTGTAAACGCGAGTAGAAGTGCTGGACCTGTGGTTTCTGAGGACGGACCGCACCCGCGTCGATGCCACTCCCGAGGAGGTCCTGAAAGAGATTCCGTTCCCCCGCCTTCACGATGTCGCCTGCGTTTTGGCGGAACCAAACTCCAGCCTTCTGTCATTTTTTTAAAAAAGAAAATCAGTTTTTTTCACATCCTTAGGACGTCTGCAGACATACCAAGCGTGTCGCCGCCTTTATTGCGCTACGGCGGTCCGCCTCCGCTTGTGGAAGGCCTTCAGCATCCGGATGGCGGGCGCTCGGGTCGGTGGGGTCGGCTACGTCCACTTCGAGGTCCTCCTGGTCGCCCATGTCGTACCCATACTTCAAATGGAAGAGGTTCGCAAAGTTGTCGTAGAACTTGCTGACAGCGGCGCCACCGTCCCCCTGAGCGTCCCTCCACGCCTTCTCATGCTTCTTGAAGAACGCCAGCTTGGTGCCAAACACCCAGCCGGGCTTTCCAGGTTTTTTGTCCGGGTTCTTCCTGACCCGCTGCTTGGTGGGCTTCTCCTTGGTGCTAGGCACCGCTCTTCTTGTACGCGCCATTTCGATGGAAGGGAGTCTTGAGGTTCGACGCGTTTACTATCAAGAGTGCTGCAAACCAAACAAACAATTTCCCTGCACGTGCCGAAAATCCATACGCGTGTATAGGATTTGCACAAAGTAACAAAAAACAAATGAGAACGCGACTCTTAATACGTTCCCAAGAAATCGCGCCACCGGGGCCCCAACGCCTCCCGCAAATCCACCTCCTCTTCCAAATCATCTGTCGTCCTAGTCGAGTCCGTAGGATCCGTGGAGTGCTGCGAACCCGCGTCCTCCCTCGCGCGCAACTCCTGCAACTCCTGAAGAAGCCTCGCGCGCCGCGGGTGCTTCCGTTTCCGTGGCAGTACCCTCCTTCCTCCACCTGCCGTCTGGCTTCCCGTGAGTTCCCCCGCCCCGCCTTCTTCTCCCTCTCCGCCTTCTCCCCCTTCTGCACTTTCCGCCACCGCCCCCGCTCGCTGCCGCCTTCTTGCGTACGCCGCGCCCCGCATCTCGAGGAAGAGCCGATGTGATTCCGGCCTTTCTGTTGCTATTTCGTCATGGGCTGGGATAGGCAGTGTGGAGGGGGAATAGGACGCGAATGCGGTCCTCTGATGGCGTGCGCGCGACTGCGTAGCACACGCCTTAGGCATCGTGGTGGTGGCTGGAAGCAAAAGACACTGGCGATTATTTGTTTCGCACAGACTCTTGTGCCAAACAAAGCCCCGGTCTGCACAAGTCCATGCAATTGAAACGCGGTGCGGGCTGGGAACAAGAATAAAGAACAGGAATAAATAATATATCGAAAGGCAAGTGCATGGAGTAAGAGTCAGAAGCGAGCCGGCACTACATATCGACATCCATAGGCCCCTCTCCTCCCCGAGCACGTCCCGCCGCACTCAGTGAGGATGCAGCCTCCTGCCCTGCCTGCATCGCTGCTCCCCATCCCTTAACCACCTTCACTGGCCCGACGCCCAACTCCGTGAAGACCTCATCCTCCGAGTGATGTACGTAGCCCGACGCACTCACGTAGAAGTGGTCGTCCTTCGACACCACTCCTGCTGCTGTCCCCCTCCCCCGTGACACGCTCGAACCCGGCGCTTGCTGCTCCTGCTCACGAACAGCAGGCGTGCGAGGCGGAGCAGCCGGTGCCGCCCCTTGCGAAACACTAGACGCGTACCCCCCGCGCTCACGCTGCTTTCCCTTCCAAGCAGGTGCGTCCGCCGTGCCAGACGTCGACGGTGACAAGGACGACAAGGAGCTGGCAGAGAGAGTAGGCAACGGCGAGGGTGGGTGCCCGACACGGCGACTGAGACTACGCGCCGCTGCGCCGGGCGCAGGGGATGGTGACGGCGGCGTCTGTGCCCGATCCTCGTCCGAAGAGTCGTCGTCGAAGAGGGGTGCCCTTGGCGAGGAGTTGTCTGGAATATCCTCATCCGACAAGCTGGGATGGAGTGGGGGTATGCGCTGGCCGTCGGAGTCATACTCAGTCTCCGGAACGGGCGTGTATGATGACGGCGGAGGCCGACGGGGGGGAGCCACTCTCGCGCGAGCTGATGCCTCGCCCGCTGCCACGGTCTCGAGTTTGACAGAGGTTTCGCGTTTCACGGCGTCGTCAACGCCTTTGTGCGCATTTCGCCGCACGCTCGCCGAGGTTGAGCTCTTCGCAATTGAAGACGGCGTCCGGCGGGCGCTCATCGACGGTGACTTCTCCTTCTTGACGATCTCCTTCTTGACGATCTCCTTCTTGACGACGATGACCCTCGGATGTGGGTCGGGCGGCAGGGGGTGTTCCGGGCAGACACTTGCGTAGCAGGAATCGGGGTGCTCGGCGCACTTGCCATGGCAGTGGTAACAGTGAAGAGCCCAGACCAGCAGGACCGACTCCCACTTCTGGAAGCAGCCAATCGCCTCCTCCTCCGTGTAGCGTGGCCCCTTTGCCACCATACAACTTGTCCTAATCATTATCAGCACTCCCCAAATGGACCCGGTCAAGGGAAACAACATACTTCAAGCTATACATCCCCTGCCTGGAAGTGCGAAACAAGATCCAGTACCTCTTGTTGCGCTTGACCGAAAAATCGACGTGGTCTGTAAAATTGTTGTCCAGGCGATTCGGTATTTGGCAGGGGATGAACGACGCAGGGGGGGGCGCAAGACCCACAAGGAAGTGAGGCGTGGTGTCCTGCATCTCGCCGTTTGTGAAGACCAAGCAGTTTGTGAAGACCGAGCAAGTGCGTGACGGTGTCGCGTGACGTGGTGATCATCAAGCCTGGCGACGCAATCCCGAGTGTGTTCGTGAGGTTTCACTGAAAAAAAATCAGGAACTCAAGAACATTTCCACCGCAGGCGATCCA